AGAACCCGATGATGATTTCATTCTTGATGAAGACGATTTCATAGATGATACATCGGAAACGGAATCGGATACATCAATAAGCGAGGAGAGTGATCCAGAGTTTATTGAAGATCACCCATTTCCTAGTACCGGTCAACACGTGTATCGCGAGATGGGTGATTGGGACCCGTCGTGTGTAGACCGAGATGAGCATGCTCTCCCTCTTTGGAATGGAAATGTCGATTCTATCCGTTTGGGTACTGTTTTCCGGTCGAAGGAAGAAGCACAGATTGCTATAATGAATTGGAACGTGAGTAGATTGAGGGAGGTTAGGTCAAAATATTCGAATAAGAAATCATTCAAGGTGGTGTGCAAATCCGAAGAAGCTCAGCCTTGTCCGTGGAAGGCTCGGGTGTCGCACTGCACACGGGTTCATGAACTGTGGGAAGTAACTGAATGGACCGAGAGGCATAGTTGTATGCAAGAAGTCGACAAAAATGACCACAGAAATGTAACCGCCACAATGATTTCCAATTTTATCATGACCAAGATTCAAAAGAAACCGGAGTACAGTGTTACCCTGATCCAGGAGGATGTAAAAAAATGTTGGAAAGTCGATGTGAGCTACAAGAAGGCGTGGCACGGGAGGAAAAAAGCCATCGACAGTTTGTATGGCACTTGGGAAGAGAACTTCGCACAACTCCCTCAGTAAGAAAAATTTTATTAAAAATGCACGTATTATTTATTTTATCTCACTATGTTTATGTATTGACGATTACGTTTTATAACGTGTAGGTTTTTTGCGGCGCTTCAAATAGCGAATCCCACTACAGTTGTACAGTGGGAATGGCAGGGTGGGGATATGGTGGCCCACTATGAGCACAGAGAATTCAAATTTGTTTTTTGGGCTTTTGGTCCCGCTATTCAGACCTTCCAGAGATGCCCGCCGGTAATTAGCATGGACGGCACGCATTTGCGTGGCTCGTACAAGGGGAAGTTGCTTATGGCCGTTGCACAAACTGCAAATAAGCGGTTATTGCCAATCGCGTATGCGATTGTGGATGAAGAGAGCAGGGAAAGCTGGTCATTTTTCCTGACCAATCTACGGCAACATGTTGTCGGCGACAGACAGATATGCTTTCTTTCGGACAAGGATGGTGGCTTACAGAGTGCCGTGGATTCATTGGCGGCTTGGCAAGAACCCGCTGCATATCACCGCATCTGTCTTCGACACCTTCGGAGCAACGTTGTTACTAGGTATAGAAATAGCAAAATCCGAAATTGGTGTTGGGAGTTGGGTTCACAGCTTTCAGAGCGAAAATTTGAACAGATACGAGAGCGGCTTTCGGATTTTAATCCGGATGCATACAATTACCTGTTCGGAATTCCTCTGAGCAAGTGGACCCTGCTTGGAGACGAGGGAGGACGTAGATGGGGTACATTGACGACCAATATGTCTGAGAGTTACAACAACGTCCTGAAAGGTGTTAGGTTCTTGCCCTGCCGAGCTTTGGTACGCGCCACATTCATGAAAACTCTGGACTTGTTTGAGCAGGAACAAAAGAAGTCCACGAGATGCAGTAATGCCATTGCTAGTGCCCACTATGCGGCATTTTGCGAATTGGAGAGTACGGCCGCAAATCATAGGGTGAGATGTGCGAACGCGGCGAGATCTCTATACGAGGTGACAACGGGTCTACGGCCGAGTGGTAGAGGGGACAAAACGTATGTGTTTTATTTATTTATTTTATAATTTTAATTTTTTTGATTTTGTTCACTAAAATTTTTAGTTGTTTATAAATATAATTCAATGTGTGAAATAACAGGTGTAAGGTTTGGTTCGACGATATGCGTTGTCGTTGTATGAAGTGGCAGACACATAGGAAACCATGCTCTCATGCTATAGCTGTGTGTCGACAACTTAATACTCCACCAAAGTTATTGTACGATCCCTATTTTTGGACGGAGACCTGGGTAGCTCAGTTTTCTAATTGGACTTTTGCTCCGGTTGGTGATCCGGACACATGGCCGATGGTCGGATGGACCTTACTACCACATTGGGAGAGGATGACCACGAAGGCTGGACCCGGTCGCGCGCAAACGAGGTGTCATCGCATGCAAATGGATCGTCGGGCACGCCGCCGGAGTGATAGAGGGCAGTGCAGTAGATGTGGTGATACAGA